AGAATGGCCTGGGAGTTTTTCAGTTTTTCTCAGCTAACGCATCACACATCCTAGCTCCAAAGGGCTTTTCTTGGCATTGTTGTAGGGCATGTGAGGAAAGCAAGATATACAGAAGGGTTGACGATTTCCCTACAGATTCAAGGATGCCACTGGTCCAGCCAGGAATGGGACATGAGGCAAGGGATGCTGGTCCACTCTGAATGGGGATCTCCCATCAGACTTGATTTCACCATTTTCTTAGACCGATCATAATTCTGTGGCCAGGAGGCAAAAGCTATGCAGATAGATGTGCCGCCAGGCTCTGGGCCAGCACTTGGAGAAATGGATGCCTCCACAGGAACATGAAAAACCGGAGTGCACTGAGAAATGTCCTGACTTCCAAACTCTCCTTCCCACACCCACCTGGGTCAACACGGTCACCTCCAAGGGACTTCCATGGAGTTGACTTGTTGTTGTTTTTAATTGGAAGCTGTCACATTCTCACCCAGCAAACAAGCATTCACATTCACAGCTAAGGTGTTTTGCTCTTATTGCTCTTGTAACTGGAGGAGGGAGGCAGGAAAGGGGCTCATCTGTGTTTCCCATGGGGGCTGCTGGAGGCTGAATTCTGTGGTCCCTTGGTTTCAAGGGTCAAGAGTCCTTTTTGATACAGCCCTTATTTTGCCCCTTTCCAAGTGAGCCTGTTAGGAGCATAATTAGTCTATTGAAAATGAGCTGAAATGAAAAAGCACAATATATTCTTAAGAGGAGGTACAGACAGCGGGCTTTTGTATGTCTACTTCAGGATGACACAGGTAGGCCTGACACGTAGGGGCCTTGTCTGCATGGACACCCTCTCCCCAGGGGCCATTTCCACTCGACAGGAGCTATGCCTGTCCTTGGAGGACCAGCTGGTATACTGAGTCAGGACCACGGTCAAAGTCAAAATTGCACCCAACTGAGTGAAATAGGCAGGAACACTTTGCTCATGACTTTTGCAATAGTGGAGAGGACCTGAGCCAACTTGACCCAACCAAAAGGCTGGGCAGGTTTTCAAATGCAGGGTGAAGGCATCGCAGTCATATGGGTGTGCTAATTGGTCTTCACAACTTGGAATTTAGGCAGATATCAGGAGGTAGGGTGCTAACTCCTCAAATGCTCATGTTTCAGAACAATGGTTCTCGAGTCCTTTAGAAAGACATAGTGCTCGGCCCATGTACAAGGTCCTGGGTTTGATCCCCAGCACCTGCTTTCCAAAACAAGAAGGCTATTTTCCACATCATGAAACTGAAGAAGCTGGATATATTTCAAAGAGGTAGAGAAAGAAGTTACAACTGCAAGTTTTCTAAAGCAAATTCCCTAAGAAAAGGGAGCTTGGGACCCAGAGTCAGGAAGAAACCTACCTAAAGGTTAACCAAGCTGGGGAGAATGTTGAAGTTATGTTGGACCCATCTAAGGCAGTCCTTTATAAATGCACCCGAGGTTCATTCCCACCACTTGAGCAGGAGCTCAGTGATACACAAACCTGGAAACATACAAACCTGGAAATTTCAGGTCCCTGTGTGTGTACCTTCTCATTAATGGCCCACTGAAAGCAGCGCATAAATGTTTCCTTTTAATGCTCTCAAGCAAGAGTGCCTGCACTGATTAATTCAATGAGCTTTTGTGGAGCATCTGGTCAGGCCAGGGACCACATGAGGCACCACGAGGTAGAAACTTCCCTGCCAACAGGCCTCGTGGCACCAGAGGAAATAGGCAAATAAACTGACACTTTAGCTATAATGTGAGAGGGTCTCAAAATATTAAATGTAGAGTCACCATATAGTCCAGGTAACAACCCAAAAGCAGTGAAATCACACCGGAGCAAAAGCATGTGCCCAAATACGCACGCAAAGCAGCATTTTTCATAGTCATCAAAAGATGGAAACCTACCAAACGCTGCGTGGATGAACAAAACGTGGCCTGTTCTTATTATTCAATATTCTGCAACAATAAAAAGAAAGAAAAAAACTGATATGCGCTTCACCACGGATAAACCTCGAAAAAATTATGCCAAGTGAAAAAAGTCAGACACATGAAGGGTGATTCTGGTTCCAGGCGATGTCTAGGAGAAGTGAATCTACAAAGACAGACACAGACAAGCCTGAGGCCGGGCTTAGGAAGATGGGAATCATTCTTTGCTGGGGGTGAGGTTTCTTCGGAGGGTAATGAAAATGCTCAAAATCATGATGGCTGCACAATCTTGTAAATAAACTAGAAACTATTGAATCAGATAGATAGATGATAGACAGATAGATGATAGATGTGTGTGTGTGTGTGTGTGTGTGTGGTGTTAGGCATCAAACACAGGCCTCTGTACATGCTAGGCAAGTGTTCTACCAGTGAACTACACTCCCAGCCCCCAAACAAACAATTTAGATGGGTAAATTCCACCTCAAAGAAGTTGTTCCACACATACACACAAAACGTGTGAAAACAGCCTCTGGATTCTCCCCTATAGGAGTCAAGGGCAGGAAGCTGGAATCAGGAAGACATCCACAAGGAAGTGCAGGCTGAGATAAAACTTAAGGGACCAAGGTTTCCAAAGCCCTGTTAGAAAGGAAGCCACTGTCACAGGCCTGAGCAGAGGCCTCCCGAGGACCCACAGGAGTTGAGCAACTCCACAGAGCACATGGCAGGGCTAGAGGCCGGCCGAGCCAGGTCACTGGGACAGGTTTGGCCTCCATCCCTGTGAGGCAGTTCAGGATAACAGTAGAAGCACAGGCTGGGGCCAGGTTACCTGGGTCCAGTTCTAGCTCTGCACTTACTCAGCTGCATGGCCGTGGGCGGATCCCTTTACCTCTCTGTGCTGTCATCCCTGCCCATATCATGTAGATCAATGTGCGGATGAGAATTAAGGCGTCCAGAGTCTTTGGAATGGTGCCTGGCAGGCACTGAGCAATGCATGTGTGTTTGCTAACACCACACAGTAGTGAACCACTGGACCATGTTAAGCAGGCAGGAGACATAGGGTTTTCAGGAAGACCAGCCTCCCCGTGATGTGGAGGGAGAGTGGGATCAGATGCGAAGCCGACTCGCTGTTGCAATTGCCCACAAGAGCAGTGTCCGAGGAGGGCAGGGGCAGCAGAAGAGGTGAGTTCAGAGAGGATTGAAAAGTTTTAAGAAATACAATCAATACAACATGATGCCTAGTGAGCTCCAGACAGCCAGGGGCAGGAGGTGTGTATGTTGGACAGCTCCCGAGTTCCTAGTGGGGTACCTGGGTGGCTGGAGGCTGAGATCAAGGAAGAGAAAGCTCAATGAACACGTCGTTGGACAAAGCGACTCTATGGTACTCTTCTTCCGACACTGAATTCAGTATTCTCTCATCCTTCCCCCACCACGAGAATTGTGCCTTGCCCTGAGGGGATGTGACTTGTTCTACTTGGGTGTCCACTATCACAAGCAGGCCACCTCCACAGCACACTCAGCTGTGGAGAGAAGGAGAGGAGGCTCTGAAGGAGCCGAGAGGCTGTGGAAAGCAGCCATGGCCGGACCATGTCTTGGATCAGCTCTGTGTGGCCAGTGGAAGTCTCACGCAGCCAGGTGTGTAAGAAATGCAAACCTAGTTTCCAGAACGGAGTTTAATTCCCGTGTCAGGCTCCCACCCTTCTGCTCAGTGAATTCTGGATCTCCTGCTTTCTCCCAGCTGGGGTCTGAGAGAACAGCATGAGGTCTGTGGTTCTTCTCTAGGGCCTTTGCACGTGGCCTATGGAAAGGAAGTGTTCCTGGGCGTGATGTGACTGGGGGAAGCTGGACGGGTTTATCTGGGGTCATTGGCCCAGTGACTAATTAGCAGGGGGCCTGGGGCATAGCAGGTGTGGACTACTATTGTGGTTCTCACAAATGGAACCCAAAAAGGTGTGAATGGACATAGGGTTATTGCAGGTGTTTCCCACACCCACTCCTTCACCAGGGGTCTCATCCAAGTGGCGCTGGCCTTGGCCCCTCCCTCTCGGGGACAGAGAGTTAACCTGATAGAGAGTTAACCAGATCCTTGCTGCTGTGGTTCCTCTTGCCACTGACATTTATTTCCTGGCCAATAGTCAAGTCCGTGCAGGATGTTAACAGGCAGGTCCTAGGGGGAGGCAGCTTCGGGCAGGGTCACAGGGGTTGGGTTTGGATCGAGTGATGGTCCTTAGAAAAATTCTAAGCTGTGTGCAAAGGATGATTCTTCAGTGGGTAACAGCATTGAGGATGGTTCGTGGTAAATGACAGTGCCAGAACACATGGCCGAAGGGACTGTGTTCTGTGGGCAGACAGAGCCCCAGCTTCATTAGTGCCCCTATTTCTAGGAGCCTACTTCTCTCTGACAGACACGAGGGGATGGTGGGGCTCTGAGGAACTACGGTGAGCTGTGGGCCTTCTCAAATGCTTCGCCCTCCTTCCCCACTTCAGGGGAGCTCTTTCTCCCTGACTCTAAAGGACTCTAGGACCCCCGAGCATACGGGTCCGTGTCTGCTTGGCCGTACTCGTCAGCTGGGGCAGTGTGTCAGGGAGGGGTTCTCTGTTTATCATCAGAACGGCCCACAGGCCCGTGCGAGTGTCGCCAAGTGGACGTTCCATACATCAAGGTCCCTCCGTGCCTGACATTAAGGTCCCTCCATGCCCGATGTGTGAAGGAAAGTGACCTCCACTGCCCGCTTGGGTCTCGGCCTCAGGGACCAGTGTCCTGACCTCCCTGGAGCAGAAGCAGGGAGCACTTTGAAACACGCCCTTGGTCTCAGAATCCTGACTCAGGCTGGGCATTCTCCACAGCACCTCCTTGGGTGTGGATGCTGGAAGGGCCACTTCCAAACTGTCCCAACCGGGAGCTGGACAACAAGCTCTGCTTCTGTAGAGGTTTGCCAGGTGCCAGAAACACCTCCAGTGGAGCAGCCAATGGGAGCCGCAGCCAGGATTCCTCCCTCTCCCCCCAGTGGCATCCCGGCCTCCTGCTGCTTCTCTTCCCCTCCTCCCACCTGGCCTGCCTGACTCAGAAGTGAGGACCGGGCAGGTGGCATCGGAGGCTGCAGGACACCTCATCTGCCCCGAGGATCCCAGGGAGCCTCAGCCCCCACGAAGATGACTCGGAGACAGGTCCTCCTCCTGTCCTGCCTCTCAGCCCTGGTGCTCCTTTCCAGTGAGTACAGGAAGGTCTGGGGCAGACTGCGTTAGCCGCACGGGGACACTCAGCACACAGGTGGCACAGGGAGGAGGATGTACTCAGGAAGACGGTCACCTCGAGGTCTGTGTGCACGGGAACACAGAGAAAGGTAGCACCGAGGGAAACCCCACTAGCCTGGTGGGTGGCCGGGACATTGGCTCTGTGGCTGGCATGTGAGGGACAGAGGGTTCCACCCACGAGAGGCTTGGCAAGCCACAGCCTAGAAAGGGCTGCTGAGGCCCTGCTCTGTCAGCACCTCTGCTGCTACAGTCGCCTTCCCTGTGTCCTTGTCCCCAGTGCTGCGGGAGGGGAGCAGCGCGTCTGTGGGCAGCAGGCAGACGGCAGGAGAAGCAGCCCAGGAAGGTGAGTGGGGGCACCCCCTCCAGGGTGCGGGGCTGCCCGCCCCCTGTGCTGGTTTTGATAGGTCCTTTCGGGTTCCAGGTGTGAGACAGAAGATTTTCATGCAGGAATCGGATGCCTCGAATTTCCTCAAGGGGCGTGGCAAGCGTTCCCCCAGATCACGCTATGAGGCCAACGGTAAGGATGCTGAGTGTCCTGTGCCCTGCGGCAGATAGCCAGGGGTCAAGCGAGGCCCTAGGGCATCAGGGTGACTGCGGCACTGAGTTAGAAATATGCCTACTCCCTTGGTTGTGGCCCACGAGTTGGGCTGAATGCATTCTTAGGGCGTGGAAGAAAAAGGGACAGGGCACATCCAAAACACCTAGCTGTTATAAGATGCTTCCCTCTTCAGCAAGGGGAAAGTGTGGAAAGGGACACAGCTGTGCTGGTCTAGAGGGAACACAGACTTCCGTGCGTGTCTGGGCACCCTGGGGCGGTGCATCCTAGAACAGCAGTGTGGCATCCAGGGAAGGGGCGTGGGGGCAGCTGTGCGGCTGAGTAGCCCTGCCGCTTCCTCCCGGGACCCTACTTTCCTTATTTATAAGCCCCGGAGAGAGCCGTGTGCAGCCAGCAGTGTTGCCGAGGGCTTGCGTTTCCAGTGCACTCGGGCCAGCGTGTCTGCTGCACAGCTTCTCGGGCGGGGGCTCCCACAGCTGCAGGGACCTGCTGCCTGTGCAGGCATTCGAGTTTCCTACCCTGAACTCCATTATTCCACGCCTCTGGGCCCCAGCGGTCCTGGCAGAGTGTGTGGCTTGACTCCGCCTTTGTGCCTGGGGATGAATGAACTCTTTGTGTCCCAAGCACACTCAGCAAGGTGACTTGCTCGGTGAAAATAACAGGACTGGTTTCAAATGATGGGCAAGAACAGAGATAGAATGGCTGGAGGTGGAATTTTTTAAAACTGGTTAAGTTATAACCATATTAGAAAAATCTCCAGACCTCACACAACTTGGGCTTTAAAAGTCGATCAAGATCCAAAAACACTGAAAAGCTGTAATTGGGTCTTTGCGATTGTTTGTTTTGCTTTGTTTTTTGTTTGTTTGTTTGAGACAGAGTCTCACTGTAGCCCAGGCTGGTCTTGAACTCACACTCCTGCTTCTAAGGGAGCTTCTGGACTCCTAGGGGAAGCGAATGTGGCTGTAGGACAGGCAAAACCCTTCTCCTCTGAAGCTGACTCAGAACCTGAGGTGCACGAGGAAGCCGGAGATCCCACCCCGGCTGGGAGCTCAGAGTCTCAGGCACTCACCGGAGGCCCAAGCGATGGTTCAGTCCACTTGAATTCAGGGCTGGGAGATGACATCTCTAATCTCGGGGATAAAGGCTCAGGTTATTTGGGGGTTAAAAAGAAGAGAATGGCATGAATGCATGTTCTTGAGAAGGGACTGATGCAATAGGGCGATGCATCATATCAATATACCCTTTTCCCCTCCATAATTACACCTTTCTTATCCACTGCTACATCAAAGGTCAGATCCATGGTGCCTCTGCAAAGCCAACCTGGGAAGGCCACTTCTTTTCCTGGGCGAATAGGGGATGGAAAATAGCTCTTTGGGAATGGGTGTGGCTCAGAAAGCACGGCCTTCCTAAGCCCAAAGCCGTCCTCCCTGCAGCAGCTTTCTGGTGCTTAGAGGGACAGCGGAAGGGGCCCCCCGGCAGGAGTGGGCACCTGGGCCGGGCGCGGGAAGCTAGTGTGGCAGGCTCCAGCCTCAGCCCTGCCTGCCACGGTGTAGTCACTCTTCCTCCTCGAGCCTGAATCTCCTCCTGAGAGCTACGAGGGGTGCAGAGATAGACTGAACTGTGCACTGCTTCCGCCAGACTAAGCATTCCTACAGCTGTGGTTACGGTAAAGGCAGAAGTTGGGAAGAAACATGGGGGCTCACCTCAGAATCCCCCCTAAGACCGGTCCACAGATACCTTGATTCTTAATCTGCTAAGTAATATAAATGCGACACAAATAAGGAGTATTTATAGACAGTGGTAGCTCGGTTCATGAACTTAATTCTTTCTACGATTTTGGTCGCAAACTGAATTGGATAAGAACTGAATCAAATTCATTGTTTAGGCTCAATGTTGACCTTAAGGAGAAATTTGATTTGGCTCCTCCCTCTCTCCCTCCCAACTCCCTGTCTCCTTCACTCCCTCCCTTCCTTCCTTCCTTCCTTCCTTCCTTCCTTCCTTCCTTCCTTCCTTTCTGCTACTGGGTCTTGAGCCCAGGGGCATTCTACCACTGAGCTACATTCCAGCCCTTTTCATTTTCTTATTATGAGACAGGGTTTTGGTAAGTTCCCACACTGGCCTTGAATTTGTGACCCTCTTCCTGCCTCAGCCTGCTGAGTAGCTGAGATTACAGGCTCGGGTCACCACCGCCAGCCTCCCAGCCTTTTATTCCAGCAGCCACGATGTTAGGTGGAATTTTTCTCCTTCCCTGCCCCTGCCCGGCTCCCTCCTGCTGTGGTCTGTGCTGCAGATCAAACCCAAGGCCTCAAACATGATAAGCAAGTGCTTCACCCTGAGCCAGCCCCAGCCCCGACCTCTGAAACCTGTTTTTATATCCCATCTTCCTCTTAACTGGACAACAAGCCTCTTATGTGGAAAGAGTGTCTTTTGTACATACCTTTTAAATCCCAGTGCCATGCCTAAGTCCTTCCTGTGACAGGTACTCAAAAATGTTGAATGGGTTTAAGGTATTAATCCATGAGATTACCTTTAAGGAGGATTAGTCCTCTATGGGATTAATGTTTTGGATCTTGAGAGTTCAGGTTTCTAGTGGCCCATTCTACCTGGATCACACCACAAAGTTCACGGCCTAAGTGAAATCATTTTACCTCGTGGGGTCTCAGTCTTCTCATCTGTAGAGGATGTGGCTGAATGCCAGGGCCTTCAAGTTGTCCTCTTTTTCTTCTCTTTTTCCTTGGTACACAGCTGCGGTAGATGATGTTCACATTTGCTTGTGGAGTTGGTACGTGTGCATAACACATCTTAATTCCTGTTTTCCTCCCTCCATATCTCCATCCCCTTCCCATTTGGGAAAGATCTAGCTCCCCACTTCCTGTTGTCTTTATTTTGCCCTTTATTTATAATCTGGGTTTCGTATATAAGAGAAACCATGGAATATTTGGGCTTGGGTGTCTGATTTACTCCACTTAACACTATGGTCCAGCTTGGAAGTCCATGTCAGAGTAAACTCTGTCAGTGAAGTCCCCAGCCTCAGAGTCTCACCGGCCCGATCGGGTTCCGGGGAGAACACTGGTCTCCCCTCCCTGCCACTTCCCAGGCCAATGTCTGCCTCTTCCTTTCACAGCGGAAAACAGGCAGAAGCTGCAGGCCGACGAGCTGCGGAGAGAATATTATGAGGAGCAGAGGAACGAATTTGAGAATTTCGTGGAAGAACAAAAAGATGGTAAGAGCTCTCCAGCCAGCGCCTGGGGGACGCGGAGCTTTGTGGGGAAACCGCAGCTTGCCTCCCCTTCTGCCCTCTGATTTTCACTGGAGGAGGGAGGCAAGGCGAGACCTACCTTCCGCTCATAGCCACGGGAGACTTGCAAAGAAGGGAGGGAGTTACAGAAACAACTGCACCTGAGAGGGGATGGAAGTGAGGGATCGTTCGCTACCTGTGTGGGTGTGAGACCCTCTCTTCCTCCTCTCCCTCTTCCACAGGGTCCCTGCGGAGGCCCGTGGTCTCTGCTTAAGCACCCTAACTCGTGGCTGGGCTCCAGATGGGCTGGGTGGGCTTCACCCTGCCTTCCTCACATCAGGGTAACGGCTCCGGGTACTTCTTCATCCTGGAAAACCAAGGCCTCCATTTACCTCTTCACACTAGCAGTGCCTTAACTGATTGGCAAAAGCCAACCAAGAGAACTGGACCCAGAAAGTACTGGTCCTCCTTCCCCTGCCTTGTACGCTGACCCACCGAATCCCCGAATCCCCACACCCTCGGTTCATCTTGGGCTCCCTGCAGGGTTTTGCATGACCTCCTGGTGCTCTTACTCCCCCAGCATTGGCGACCTCTTTGCTCAGCCCTGGCCTTTGGCCTCCCGTCAGCAGGGTGGAATAAGAGCGCCCAAGACCAGGCACTGGCAGGCCTGGTCCCACCTCAGGGGTCCCGCATGTCCTCAGGGGTGCTGGTTGCACGGGGACCTCCCTGCAGGGCAGGTGTGGGTGGGGACAGGGCGGAGGAAGGCTGTGCTTTGAGCCAGGCTCCTACTGGGTGAGGTCTGCCCTTTGTGAGTCACCCACAGCAAACAGCCATCGGGTACCGAGTGGGGATCAGACCGGCAGACAGCAGGGGACGCACGTGTGCTTACTTCTCTTTGATCTTTCTCCAATTCACGGCTGGGATGCGCCTGAGCAAAGCTACCCTGTTCTTCCTGGTGCACATGAGCTCAGGTGCAGAGCCCCGCTTGGGTCACTCTTGATGGAGAAATCCAGCTCTCCTCCCGCCTCATTGGCTCGGCTGGCTGGGGGTACCGCTCTCCGGGAGATGGGAAGAAGCACCACACCAGGTCCCGAGGGCTGGAGCTGTGCCCGTTGGCCTGCAGGTGGCACCTGGCTGAGCCCTGCAAGCAGGTGCTGGACACTGGCCCTGGAAAATCAGCCTCTCTCGGAAACATAGTGGGAAGCACTCAGGCTGTCATAACCCAGAAGAGAATAATCCTATTTCAGATTTGTTTGCCTTGCTGGACAGCTTGGGGAGAGCTGTCTCATTTTTAAAAACAAGATGTGGCTTCCAACATTCCTACAGTGTGAGTTTTACTCATACTACTCACAATAGCTTTTTATTTTGTGCATGTTGAATGTTTCAGGTCCAAGTCTTTAGCATGGGGTGAAAAGTATTCACGTTTCCTCTTTCAGGATGGGAGGGGTTAGGCACACACAGGTTGACAGGTCCTCTTAGAAGATACTGAGATCAGGGTCCTCACCCACACTGACCGAGAAGGCCCTGCAGAGCAGGGCTGAGGCCTGTGGGGACTGCTGTCACATCGGCATGGGAACAAGCACTTGCTCAGCCAGGCACTGCACCGCATCACCACCCCTACAACCCAACCCCGAGGAAGCCCTTGTCCTTCCCATTCTACAGCTGGAAAGACTTAGGTTTAGAAAGGACGCACGCCTCCCCGAGGTGGCATCCTAGTAGAGTGGCCCTGCAACTGGAACTCAGGCCTGTTTGCCAGGAAAGCTCCCATGCTTATAAATCATGGACAGAGGTCTCAGAAATCTTCTCCGAGCCAGGAACTGGCCCACGGGGGTAGACGGAGTGAGGATGAGAGACACAGTAGCCTCACAGGGCTCTCAGGGCTCCAGACAGAAAGGAGCCAAGAGGCCAGCAGGTCGGGCCCCCCCGAGGGTGAGGTATGAAACAGGCGGAACTCAGCTCGGAGGCCTTGGCCTGCCCTAGAGGGTCTGCTCTGCGGCCTGGGCCATGCTCAGAGCTCCCCTCTTCTGAGCCTTTCCCCAAGCGCCCCCAGCCTCCTGCAGTCAGGACCCAATCTTAGCCATCTTGCCTGGTGAAGGCCCCACATCTGAGAACGGTTAGTGGTAGTTGGATGCGTGACCTCTCCCTCGTTACTTGCTTCAAGAAAGAACTGCCAGTCAGCTCCTGTGGCCAAATCACACTCTCAAAGAGGAGTCGGTCCCCAGAGCTGTGGAAATGTCCAGAGGGACTGCCGAGGCTCCAGCCAGGGCTAGCTTGGAGCTCCGAGCTGCTTCTTTGGAAACAAACTGCTGGGTCATGTGGTCATTTTATGCTTAGCTTCTGGAGGAGTCTCACAAATGGTTCTCAAACATTGGAGGCCTGCAACATCTGCTCATGTCCTCTGGCACCTTCTGAGGCTCACTGGCAAGTGGGACTCTGCCCTCTCAGGGCTGGGTGGCTCCCCCAAGCCACCCAGAGTCCTTCTGTCCTCACAGTGACTTGTTTTTCCTCCCCAGAGCAGGAAGAGAGGAGCCGGGAGGCCGTGGAGCAGTGGCGACAGTGGCACTATGACGGGCTGTTCCCTTCCTATCTGTACAACCGTTACCACGTCTGACTCCTCCTGAGGCCACTGGAACAATGAGTATGAAGCAGCCCCAGCCACCCGGGGCCACCGCATCCCTTGGAGGGTCCCGGTGTGGAGTCGGCCACACTCCACAGTCTTGGTTAATCCACACCTTTCAGTCCCACGCCTTCCCAGGCCCTGGCTTCAGCTTCCATGTGTGTGGATCATTTCCTGAGTGAGCAGCTGCCCGTGGCTCCTCTCAGACCAAAGCCACAGTGCTGCCCCCTGCCTGGGCCCTGGATCCTGGAGTAGACGCCTGTCTGACAGGCAGGCCACAGAATCAGCATAGGGAGCAGTGATTCCAATGTCTACTCAGTACAATAAAGATGCTGAACCAATCATGCGATTCCTCAGCTCTCCCATGTTGCCGTGTCAAAACCCCCACACCCCGAGTGACAGAGTTCATTCTGAGGGCTCGTGTGTTGGACAGCTTGTCCTTGAGGACTCCAGCTCACTCTATTCAGTGTGTTTCAGTGGTCAGTCAGTGAAGGAAAAAACTCACTAATGCAACTGTTGTGGTAGAGCATTCCAGAGGATAAGCGAACCTAGCACTTCCCTACTTGTGTCTCTGAAAAGCTCTTCCTTCCTTTTTCTTTCTTTCTTCTTTCTGACTCTTTCTTTTTCGTCAGTGCTGGGGATCAAACCCAGAGCCTCATGAATTCTAGGCAAGCAGGCACTCTACCACTGAGCTACACCTTGCCTTTTTATTTTTTCATTTTGAGGTAAGGTCCAGTTAAGTCGCCCGGACTGGGCTCCAACATGCCATCCTCCCATCTCAGCCTCCTGGTCATAGGCATGTGCCAGCCTCCTGGCTTCTGATGAGCTTTAGAGGTCAACCACGATTTTTTAATTGCACCATTCAGAAGCTGGGGTTCCAGCAAGGCAAGTTGTGCAAACAAGTCCACTTTTGTTATCTCACTTTTCTTCATAGTGTCTGTCTTGTTTCCTGAGGCTGCCGTAACAAAGTACCACAAACAAGATGGCTTGAAAATCCCAGCTACTCAGAGACTGAGGCAGGAGGACCACAAGTTTGAGGCCAGCCTGGGCAACTTAGTGAGGGCTGCCTTAGAACAAAAACTTGAAAGGATGGAGGCTGTAACAGGCATCCACAACAAACCCACAGCTTCCCTCATGCCCGGTCCCTGGCCAGCTCCTCCAGCCTGCTTCTGAGCTTGGACCTCCAGGACAAATAGGGCAACTCTGATTAGGGGTTGCTTTGAGGTAAAGCTACCTCGATTGTGGAAAAATACCACACCTGATAGGGGTAAGTAATTAGGTCAGGATGCCCTGTAATAAGTGCGTGCCTCTGTAAGTCATTTTTAAAAAGCTGATAAATCCTTTGAAAACACTGTAGTTAAGTGATTATACTTACCCCAAGCCACCCCATACATAAGAGTCAGGACCGTTATTTTCTCCCATGGGGTCAAAGCAGGGGTCATGTAGTTTTGGATTTTTTTGTACCGGGGATCAAACTTGGACCTTGCACTTTTGAGGCAGGCGCCAGAACCACTGAGCTAAATCCCCAGCCCGGGTCATGTAGTTTTAAGTTAGAATGTGCTAGCCCTGGAAGAAACTAGCATAGAATGAAAAGTTTGCAGGTTTCATCACTGCCTTTAATTTCCCACCAGATGAGACAAGGATTATTTGGGAGAAACTCATATTTCAATGTTTTGAAGCATAAATCTCGACAGAGAGAAGTTGCACAGATAGCACTGGGTCACCCTAGTGTCCAAGCCAAATCGGAGAAAGCCACTGTGTGAGTGGAAGGAACCGGGCTCTGACGTTGACAGAGGCTCTCAAAGATCCAGCTACTTCCTGTCTTCTCCTAAAGTGACAGGCAGGAAACCTCATCAGATTGGCGAGACACACCCACCACCTGAGAGTATTTTCAGTCTCTGTTCTCTGGGGCTGGGGCTCCTCACCGGGCTTAAGCCCAGCCAAGGTGGGCAAGTCGCTGAGTCAGGGCAACCGGCAGTGGAGCCGGTGACATAACGAGGTTGGATTTAAGTCACCAGAAACTGCCCTCTGGCTGCCAGGACCTGGATGCCCAGACAGGCCCAGAGGACCCGACTCTTCAGGCTGTCAACTGAGGGTGACAAGGCGTTTCAAAAATGTGGTTGTCATTGCTATCTGAGAGGGATTGGCTCTGCGATCCTCACAGGGACCCACATCTGGGCTCGAACTGACCCTGCTGCCTCAGTTCCCATGGTGCTGGGATCGCAGCCTCCTGTCACCACACCGCCCTCCTGTGTTCTTGAATCATCTCTGGGACACTTACGGTAACTAGTACCACGTAAAGGCCATGTAAATAGCCACCCTGTATTATTTTAGGAAAACATGACAGAAAGTGTACATATTTAGTACAGACTCGATTTTTGTCCTGAGCATTTTTGATCTGTGCTGGCTGACTCCGGGGATCAGGACACGCACACACAGAGGCCAAGAGCACTTTTATTACACACCTGATTGTGCAATAGGATAGCAGAGCCCTGCTCCCCTGCCCCAGCTGAGAAGAGACACAATCTAGCTCCTATCGCGATGAATGACCCAGCTGTGCCTTCAGGGGAGCTGGTTCTTTCCCAGGTGCACCAAACAGGTGTGGCAGCAGCTGGATTTGGACTCAGGGCCACACACACGGCCACCTGCCTGCCGGGTCTGTGGCCATACAGATGTCGAAGGCCCAGAATGGTTTGTGAGAGTGTCGAGTTTTAAAAAGGACAAACCCAAACCAAACAGGCCATCCTTACCCTCTCAGCAGCCAGGCCTGGCAGGTTGGCACTAGATAAAGAATCCTGGCAGAGACAGGAGCAAGAATTCCATCACCTTGCTCACCCCGCCCTTCACAAGGGCTCCATTATACTCCGGTTTTCAAATTCTGCCCAGAATTCCTCACAGAAAGCCAAGCACAGTCATTTCCTAGGCCAGCAGGAGGCCAAAGGTAACACGATAGGAATCAGAGCAGCCACACTTAATAGGAAATTAATAACAGCAATTTGTACTTCTGGAGACCGTCGGCCAGTGTGGGCTATGGGACATTCTTTCACTTACTCTTCTTTCTTCTTTCATTACTACATCCTTGCTCTTGAGGGGCTCCAGGAAAGTGGTGGAAAACACATTGGTCAGAGCAAATTTGTTGTTAATTTACATTTGTAAGACCGTGCTTCTCACCAACTGCTCCGAGGAGCTGAGTACAGTGAGGATCACCCGGGAGGGAACACACTGGACAAGTTGTGAACTTAAAACAGACCTTTATTAGTCTGGCCAGACGGCACCCCCCAAGCACCAAGCTTAGAGAGGCGAGAGGCTCAGAGCCTGAGGTCCTTTTATAGGAGATGCTAGGGGGAAGTTGGCAAGCAGAAATACAAAAGCAAAGTGCTGAAGGAGAGGGATTTTACAGATTGTTCTTAAAATAGCATGTTCTGTTATGGAGTTGGGTAAGCATGACGGAACACTGCGCACTCAACAAACCTTCCTGGCTCAACAAGTACATTCCTGGAACTCAATGTTCCCCTGGTGATCCATAACAGAAGCAGACAAGTTGGGGCCCTATTACAAAATGGAGTAACTGTTGTTCAGTCTCACAACATTCACCAGTTTTGAATTTTTTTTATTTTCTTAAAAAATGTTTTGAGGGGGCTAGGGTTGTAGCTCCATGGTACAGCATGTGCTTAGCATGCTCAACCCTGGGCTTGGCATGCACATATATGCGTACATAGACACACACACCCAAAATTGCACATATCCACCAAGACATATTTTACAACTTCCTGTCATATGCCTTTATTTTAGTTAGATTTTTTGGGAGGAGGTGACAATTTTCCTGAGTCTCAGAGTGATTTTTATAATTTTTGTAAGCTTTTGTGCTTTTTGTCAGTTTCATTTGTTCATATTATTTCTTTTTGTTGCCATTGTTGTTGTACTGGGGATTGAACCTAGGGGTCTTTGCACCAAACTACACGTCCAGCCCATTTTTTCTCTTTTTTTAGAGGAGTCTCTTTGCTTCTTGGCCTTTTGACTAAGATCAAGTATTTTGAGGGTCTTGGTGAGTCACTAAGTTGCCTAGGCTGGACTCATAGACTTGTGACCCTCTGGTCTCAGCTTCTGAGAGTGCTGGGGTTACAGTGTGAACCTCCACTCTTGGCTAGTACTCTGACTCCATACTGTACTAACACTTCTGTGTGTGTGCGTGCAGTGCTGAGGGTCGGATCCAGGGCCTCATGCATGCCCCAAGTGCTACAAGTCCCCACTGGGACTCTACCAGTCCCAGGCCCCTAATTTTAATGTCCCTATGTGCTTACTGGGACGACTTCCCACTCACCTTGAACAGGTACATTCTCTTGAGGTCTGTCAGCACTGAAAGCAAACACTTTTTTTGTTTTTGAACTAGTATTGAATTTTTTAAAAAATGTATCCACTTTCCACATTAACTTCTTTTGAAATCAAAAGTAGTTTGAATAGGTAATCCACACACAATTTACAATTTATAAGGAACAGAAAGGAGCATAGTAGATGGGTGTGGTACTGTACACCTGTAATCCCAGCACTTGGGAGGCTGAGGATCACCATGAGGCCAAGGTCAATTTGGGCTACATCCTGAGTTCAAGGTCATCCTGAACTACAAACTACATAACAAGACTGTCTCAAAACATCAAAAAAGAAAAAAAAGAAAAAGAAAAAAGGAACATAGTAACTTAGTCCCTTCTCTCTTTTCTCTCAAAGGAAACCATTATTCTCATTGTCCTGAGTATCCTTCGCGTGATCTGTTCACCCCTAAGTATCTACAGAACTTTTCTTTTCCACTTTTACTTTTTAAACAATTAAGTTAACATTCTACCATATTTAATTAGTTTTGGTAAAGCTTTCTACATTGGTCAGTTTTCCTGTCACTGGGACAAAAGATGCCAGAACTTAAAGGAGGAAAGATTTATTTTGGCTTATGAGTCCAGTCCATGGTTGGCTGTTTCCAAGACAGTAATGCATGGGGAAAGGACATGGCACAGGAAAGCTTTTTAACCCGTGGGAGCCAGGAACCAGAGAGAGAAGGGAAGAGCCAGGGACAAGAACACACCCTTCCAGGCCACACACCCCGGGACCCACCTCCAACCTGGGCCCACCTCCTAATGGCACACTCAGCTACTGAACTCATCAGTTGACAAATCCACTGATGAGCACAGCATCCTATGATCCAATCACCTTCCACATACATGAGATGGGGGGGGTGCGCATTGTAGATCAAAACAACACTTTCTTAAAGAAAAATCTTTCTACAGAAATGACAATTTTTGATATGTCTGGAAAGAATTCTGGTTTAATATGAAAACCAAGGTGAAGAGGTTTTCTCTAGACAACTTCTCATTAATTTAAACTAATAATACTTTTAGATCTCAACACACTCGTGACCTCTAAATGTAAAACTTTCCCAAATAAAAATGATAATCCCATTACTATGAGGTAGGACAAAAACATGAGCTTGTGACTTTATTAGCTTACGTTGTTTATCATGCACTCAGCAAAAGGTATTTTATATTTTGTAAACTAATTTGTATGACAAGCTACCCAGTTACACTAGAAGATTGGTATCATGAAACAATTATTGAAAAACAGTACATACTTGAGTAAGTCACTAAGCACAACTTCTCTGTACCCTTCCACATGAACAAGTGTACCTGCTAGAGTTTAGATTTTGACTCCCAAAGGCTCATGTTGTAAGGCTTGGTCCCCAGCTTGGCACTATTGGGAGGTGATGGAAACTGTGAGAAGTAGGGCTGCTAGCACAGTGGTACATGCCTGTAATTCAGCACTCTGGGAGGCATAGGCAGGAGGGTCCCAAGCTCAAGCCCAGCCTGGGCAAACTGCTGAGACTCTATCTCAAAATTAAAAAAAAAAATGGCTAGGGATGTAGCACAGTGCTAAAGCCCTGGGTTCTATCCTCAGCGCGCGCGCACACACACACACACACACACACACAAGACATAGGGCCTAGGTGGGCTTCAGGTTATTTGAGGCATGCCCTTGAATTGGATAGCAGAACCCAGCTCTCTTCCTTTCTTTTCCTTGCTTTGCTTCCAGGTCACGAGGTGAAGTTTTGCCCAACAACATGCTCTCCACCGTGAACTCCCCACCCTTACAGAGACCCAAAAGGCAAAGAGGCCAACCCATCACAGACTGGAATCACTAAAATTTTGAGCCAAAATAAACCTTTTCTCTCTATAGGTTGATCCCCTTCAGGTGTTTGTTATCGTGACAGAAAGCTGACTAATATTGTGCCCCAAAACACACACAATTAGATGTCATTACCATTGGTTAATTATGCAAAAGTAAAGTCAGCATCATAAACCCAGAATTTATGAAGCCCAGGACTTGAATTGTATTCTCTCTCAATGTCTAGCCCACTGGTCCTGACAACATCACTCTAGGGAATGTACAAGATGACACAAACCATGCTAGTATTTGTGATCTTCTTGTCCAAGCTCACTCAAAACACTCTGGGGATACTTACCAGAGAAAGGAAGCCATAAAATCCAGAATAAAGAACTCTTACAACTCAACCCAATAATAGACATAAATAAATGGATGAGCAGGCAGCACCAAAAAAAAGATATGTGAAGTCCATAGCTCATGAAAAGATGCTTAGTAGCACTGGTCATCAGAAAAATGCAAACTAAAGCCACAGTAAGATACCTCTGCACATCGATCAAAATGGCCAAAATGAAGACCGTCAAACTAAGATGTGGCAGGCTCTGGAGCAATAGGGATCTCATACATTCACTAATGTGTGAAATGGCACAACCGCTTTGGAAAGTGTCTTGGTAGCTTCTTGTAAAGCTAACATACACTTACACATAGCCCAGAACTCCCACTGCTAGATATTTACTCAAGAGACAGAAACATTCAGAGACACTTCCACCTGAGTACACATAGCAGCTTTAGTAGTAACAGCCCCAAATTGGAAAAAGCCCAACCCATAGGTCCATCAACTGAATAAACCAATTATATGGCACATCTGCACAATGAAATGCTCAACAAACAAGTAAGCTACTGATTCATGCAATAACATGGATGAGATTTCAAAATACTATGCCAAGAAGCCAAACGTAAGTCCAAATAGGAGTTCAAGGGCAGCCTGGGCAACTTAGCAGGAGCCTATGTCATTAGACGTTAAATTGCTGTGAACATCAAGCTCTACTTCTATCAACTCTGCAGAAAGCCAATTCAAGCAAGTCAGCTTTGCTACATTATCAGCCAGATTTTAGCATCCTCCCTTTCCACCCCCATAACTGGGAGTGAACTCAGGGTCTGCACTGAGCTACATTCCTGGCCCAGGCTGGGCTCATACAAGATCTTCCTGCCTTCACCCTCTAGAATGCTGGGATTACAGGCATGCAGCACCACATCCATCCAATATGGAGGTTTGAATGTTTCATGGTGGCTTTGGGGAACAGTCCACATCAGTCACTCAGGAGTTCCTTATTCACTATTCTGGATGACTGTTATTTAAAACACTTGTTTTCCTTTCGTTGTTTGGTAAAGGAAAATATATTTTGTCTTAATAAACCCCACGATAAAGGTGATTTTCTTTAAAAGAAAAAAAGTTATTTCCTCTAAAATGAAAAAGGCACAGGAGAAAAATAAAAGCTAAAAAAAAGAAAAAAGACACTATGATGAAGATTGTAACACATGGTCTGCTTGAAGGAGCTGGCGGTTTTGTAATGTAGGTCACTGAATACTCCTGCTCTGGTGGCCTGGGATGACAGTGTGTTGCCAGTGACAAGTGTTGAGACTGAAGGAAAGCACTTAGGGTAACTCGACAAAAAGGACTAAAAGACCGATCTTGCTGATGCATGTCACGCCACTTATATGCATAAACCATACCAGTGAGAAGACCACCAAGGCCCTCCATTCAAGCAACAGCATGACTTCCACATGGGAAGGAAACCGCTCCGCTCAACAATCTGGTAAGTTTATATGGTTGTAACCTGTGTCTTATGCATTGCTGTTTTAAGTTTCTGAGACAAACGAGTGTACTCTAAATGAGGCTTTAACAATGTTGGGGTTTCACATGCTTTTTTGTGCTAATAGTTACTCTATTTTTATTTTTTTTGGTACCGGGGATCAAACTCGGGTCCTTGCGCTTGCGTAGCAGGCGTTAAAACCACTGAGCTAAATCCCTGGCCCTCTATTTTTATTTTTAAGGCAAATTTAAAAATAAAAAAACCTTCTGGAAAGCAAGGTACTTCTAAGAGTACTGTTATTAGGAAGTAACCTTAGGGGAAATGCAAAGGTCAGATGCAGCACCTTCTGTCTATACAGAGCTGAATTTTATGAAATCTTAAGGCATGTAGACTTTATTTCTGGCTCTTGAAAACCTAGATCAACGCTCTGCTATAATGGCCTCTCATATGTGTTATGTCCCTAACATAAAGCCCTCTTGGAAGAAAACAATTTCCAGCTAGAGTACAAATTCCAGAACAATAATCCTACCAATGTATCCAACCTTTAGGTGGTCCCAGCATTCATGGAAGTCAAACGGTATTTGGAGAATCAGGTAGTCCAGGCCAAGGAATCTCCTATAAATTTTTATTGATTTAATTTCCATTGTGTTTGACCTTCAAAATTCCTGCTGTATATAATAAACTACATCTGCAACCCCCAAACTCCATGAGATGCTGTCTTTGTAGTTTCTGAGTTTAACAGCATGTTTCACAGCATGTTAAATTTTGTACCTGTTTTGGTTAGAGGTGTCAAAGTTTCTTTATGTCATGTTGAAATAAATTCATTTGTACAAATAATGAGATTTTAGGTTTGTGCATTAGAGGTCTACAATATTATAAGAGCAGAGACTCCTCTTTATATATAAATAAATACGGGCAATGTTGTTTAGTGACTTGATCAATTTCAAAGAGCAAAACTGAGATAACAGGACAGAAAGAAGGAACCTAGCTCCTGATATCAGTATCTCAACATAATAGTGAGGGCAGTGATCATAGTAGAAATGTATCTGCAGATGGAAATAAGTTATATCAGTAGAATTTCAGGGCTGAAAGATACATTTCAAGATCATTTGGTCTGATCTTCCTCAGTTTATACAAAACAAAACAAAGACCAGAAGTTAACCTAACTAAGGGTGAGAATTAAGCTAAATTAATGCTTTTGGCTCTGGGTGTCACTTTATTGTGAGCAAGGAACGCACGCTCTATATCCAAGAGACCCCGGCTGCCTTTCTCCTTCTGGTATTCCGGCCAAACTCTGTGAATGCGGTAAGGTAGTCAGTCATCTGTAGGAAGAACAGGAAAGGCCATGGTATCTTGATTTTCCACCTGCGCGCCAGCGTTAAAGTTGGTATCAAACGTAGTGGAGGAAGCAGAGGTGGAGTTACGGGCTTAACGAGCACTTGTTTCGGGAGGTGGTGGTCAGGAATATGGGCACGCCAGAGCCGATCCCTTGCTTTTCCCATCCAGGAATCAAGGTAGACTGTGGGACAGTGTCGGCAGGTAGGCTCATTTAAGGCTGTTTAGAAATTTGCCATGTTCTTCTCCTCTCGGTAACAGGGTTTCTCCTCCTATCTTTGGACCAGTCTTTTCCTAGAAAAAATGAGAGTACCTTAGTAAGAAACTGGTTTAATATTATTTGCCTGGTCCACTAAAATTAGGTAAATGGCATGGTGTTCTAGTTCGGATCAGGAATGTTCCTCCCCAGGCCCATGTGCTGAAGGCTTCACTCCGTTTCTCGAACTGGAAGGGCGTGGGACCTCTGACAGGTCAGGCACAGTAGGAGGCCTCTGGGTCCCTGGGGACTCACCCTTTAAGGGGATCTCTTCCATGTTTCCACCAGGATGGGCCAGAGGCCCAAAGGCAAAAGAGCCCAAATAAACCTTTCCTCTCTGTAAGTTGTCTCAGGCACTTATTTCATTATAGTAACAGAAAGCAGCCCAGCACACATACCTTTAGCATTCCATCCCGCTCCCATTTGTAGAGGCCACAGTTACTGAAAGAGAACAGGCAGATTTACTCAGCAGTGAGGTACGGGCTCACACACATAAGGAAAACAGGCTTCCTGGGCTTATGGGGAGGACTATCCTGCAAGCAAGGAGGTGCCGGCTGTGGTGGTGCAGGCCTGTAATCCCAGCGTTCTGGGAGGCTGACGCAGGAAGATCACAAGTTTGACACAGTCTGGGCAATTTAGCAAGACCTTGACTCAAAATTTTAAAAATGTAAAAGGTGTTAGGGATGTAGCTCCATGTCAAGGCCCTGGGTTCATTTCCCAGTCCGGGGATGCTGTCCAAGACGACCTTTGTGTTATTATAGGCCAGACCTGAGGTTCAGTCCTATGCTAAGAACATGTGGTCCAATCCCTGGAGAGATGGTCTTGGGGGTTCAGAGATGGAGCCGCACATGGGGGTGCTGAGGGCTACACACGCTGCTCAGATGGACGCAAACTTGGTTTTTATTGATGGTCGTTGGATGAGTCTGTTCTACACTAAGAAAAGCCAAGAGCAGGGCCAGAGAAAAGCACTGTTCTTATGAAAGCACAGGTACTACCAGCAGACCCCAAAGCATCTTGTGCTACCATCTGAATTGCACTCACTGCTTATCCTTAAGGAATAGAATTTTTCTGGTTTTCCCACTGTTGTACATCAGCTCTTCCTATGATGACATTTTTAGCCACCTATTCTGGAGAGAAGCATCAATATACAAACACCTACTTTATGACTGCAAAGCTATAAAGTTAAAATATAGTCTCTAATGATTTAAATTAAATAAAAATAGGAAAATAAATTTGCAATAAATGAAAATACAGGTGATTGCTGGGCCTATAGCACACAGGTAGATTGCTTGCCTAGCATGTGCGAGGTCCTGGGTTCAATCACTATTATCACCAAACAAAGAAACAAACAAACAAAAACACAATAGGGGATTAAAGTCTTAAGTACCCAAGGAACATCTACAAATAAAGAAAAGACAAAAACCCCACTAAGAAAATCAATAAAAGATATTAACAGAAAATGACAGAAGAGGATATTCCACAGGCTGGTAAGCATGTGAAGATACTGCAATTACTGATAACTACTGAGAAAACTGTATTTAAAAACTGTCCGTGCTGAACATAGTACTTATAATCCCAGCGACTTGGGAGGCTGAAGCAGGAGGATTGCAAATTTAAGGCCAGAGACACATTCGACATCATGCTGTTTACACGAGACACAAATGTGTGCAAAATCGAAGAAAACAAAAGGACAACATGACTCACAGAGGATGGTGGAGTATGGTGTGGAGGGACAGGAAGGGAGTGAAGAAGGCAATAAAGGACATAAGAACAGGACGAAGAGGGCGCCTAGTGGACCTGAGAGACATATAAAAGACACGCTGCCTTTAACTCTCTCAGAATACTCTCCCTCGCTTCAAACATATGTATCCCCTCATTTTTGCCACTTCCTAAAGCAGTTCTGGAGTCCTCTTTTCTGAATGTCTTTATGAGGCGTGGTCAAAACTACGGAGAACGCTGCTGCCATGTGCCAGCCAATGGAAAGGCAGCTTGTAAACACTGTCCTCAGCCACCTGCTCACTGGATCTGGCACCGCGCACCTTCTGGTCTTCCCCAAAGTCAAAACGAGCATGAAAGGCAAACATGTGAATTTCAGCCACGACAGCCGAAGACATGCGAGAAAGAAGACTTCCAGAACTGCCTTAGAAATGGCAAGAACAATGGGATAAGTGTGTTGGAAGCAGAGGGAAGTATTCTGAGGGGGATTAATGGCACTATGTCCTTTATTGTTTTAAAAAAAATCTATTTTTTAATCATACCACATATATTCACCAGCCCACCCTGCACATTTTTTTACTTCTTTATTCAACAAACATTTTTAAGGACCTACTACGGGCCAGGAACCGACAGCAGCCAATGTGCAGGGGATTCAGCAGCCGAAGGGCGAGGCACGTCACACAGGACACTGCCAGGGTTAACCCTGCCCAGCACGGACAGCCAGCCCTCAGTGCTTCTTATACCTGCAGTGCTTTTGGGGGAGCCGGTCAAGAGAGATGCTTCTGTTTCCGCAGGGACACTTGAAAAACCTCTTCAGGCCATCGTGCCAGTGGTAGTCATGCTGCTCACTGACGCAGGTCTCCAAAGGCTTGAAGTGGGTGTAGGCGCACTGCAGGTCAAGGCAAACCACACAGCCAGTGAGGGGCTTGGAAGGGCAGACTTGGAGACAACCTCTCCTCTGAGCCTGCCAGGTCACTGCGGGCCACGTGGGCCCTCGTCGTGCAGCTGCTGGGACAGCAGTGACTTTTCTGACCTTCCTCACACCAAGACCGTTTCTTCTGACGTGTGCCCCACTTTCTGGTCAGGCACAAAACCCAGTGGCATCTGTGACACAAAGATGACAGCAAGGGCCAAAGAAGAAGAGCACTGGAGACTTCTCAACAGCTTAAGCTGGGCTCATTACAGAATACTGGGCATTAATCACTGGGTCAGGAGGCTTGGTGCTTCAGAGGGAGGCCGATCGGTAGCTCTTTGATTTTTTACTACAAGATCTCTGAAAAGGATTTAAGCTTATTATTCATCCTATTTCATAAACAATAAAACCAAGACAGCGGGACTACATAATTCACTTTTAATTCTGATCTTCAAAAGGACTGAAGAGAATAAGAAATGGCAGAAGAGGTGTCAACAGGCACCAGGAGAAGGCCTGTAATTCTGGTCATCACATTGGGCCCAGATTAACTGCTCTAGACAACCTCAGAAGATGCAGAGCACAGTGGAGTGTCCGCCACAGCAGGCAGGATAGCGGTCCCCGGAAGTTAAATGTACCCTATTTCCTGGAATTGGAGACTGGTGTGTTATATGGCAAAGGAGAACTAAGATGGTAGGTGGAATTAAGGTTCCTAATTCAGTGATTTAAAAAAATTTAAATTTTTTATTGCTACATATTTGCAGTACATGATTACATCCACAGTGGGGAGCTGGTATAACTTACTGATTTTAAGACATGGATATGACCTCAGCTTATCTGGCTGGGCCCAATGTAAAGGGTCCTTAAAAGCTGAAGGAGGCATGAAGGAAACCAGGGTGATGTGCTGAGAGTCTGAGCTGCTGTTGCTGGTTCTAAAGATGAGAAGGGAGCTGTCCAAGAGGAGGGTTCTAGAAGCTGACAAAGGCAAGGAAACAGACTCTTCCCAGAGCCTCCAGAAAGACTGTGGTCCTGTCAGCACCCTGATTTTAGGCTAGTGAGACCCAAACTTCTGTAGAACAAAACATACATATGTATGTTTTAGGCTCCTGGGTTTGTGGTGATTTGTTACAGCAGCAACAGAAAACTGATACACCAAGCAGGTCCTTAGGTGCAAAGTGAAAACCGGCACTGAGGGAAAAGGCAAATGGCGAGCTGTGCTTCAAATTATGTTCTGATTAATCCTCTTCACTTGTCCTCCCAACTATAAACTTGGGCAAGGAATCCTTACATTTTGGGGGCAGCTCATTCAGCTCAAATATAAGAAAAACTCGGGGATTTAGCTCAGTGGTTCCGCCGCCTGCCTCGCAAGCAGAAGGACCCAAGTTCCATCCTTGGCACGAAAAAAAAAAGAAAGAAAGAGAAAAACTAAGGTTTTCCAAAGAATAGAGAAAAGTATACTGGGCAGGCCAAGAATCGTCATCTTCTTGTGCACTTACGGGCTGTGAAGGGAAGGTATGTCCAGTAAGAACTTTCCCCCACCCCACTTAAAAATTAATCTTGAAGAATAGAGAATTTTGGACTGGGGATTTAGCTCAGTGGTTCCGGTGCCTGCCTCGCAAACGCAAGGTGCCGAGTTCGATCCCCAGTACCAAAAAAAAAAAAAAAAAGAATAGAGAATTTGGAATTCTGTAACAGATTTGGGATAAGAGTTCTACAAATACAGACAGTAATACAATTTGCATTCGGACTGGAGATTCAATTTGGCAGCTTAAGAGCCAAGAGTGGGCGATTACCGCGTGGGATGGGAAGTGCATCCCGGGGCTCAGGGGCTATGCTTGTTGGACCAAGGTGTCAGAATCTGAGACAGAACGCTAAGAACCACTGAGATCCGGCAGCCAAGGGGAACGGAGGTTACACAATCTCCACACTGGGAGCTGTGGTCAAACAGAGAACCTCCTCTGCCAATGCCCCAGCCCAGAACACCAAGGCTGGGTCAGGCAGAGCCTGATCCTTGTCTATCCCAGGCTGTTTGTTTTCCAACCTCCTGATAAATGACGGAGACACAATCCTACATTTCACAGATCCTTAATGTTCTCTTTATGGTTTGGATCAAAAGTATGCCCCAAAGGGTTTGTTGAGGCCTTTATTGTGGATGGGTTTTGGTGAAGGGACTGAATCATGAAGGCTCTAATGTATCAAGTGGAGTAATCTACTTGTGAGACCATAATTTGCTGATATTATTGGGAGGTAATGTGAACAGGAGCTGGGGTCTAGCTGCAGGGAGTGGATCACGGGGTGTGACTGTGGGGACTATATCTTGTCCCTGACCCTTTCTCTGACTCTTTCCCCCTTTCTCTACTTCCTGGGGGCCATGAGGTGAGCAACTTTCTTTGGTCAGGCCCTCCATCATGTTTCTGCCTGCCATGGGCCTAGAAGCAATGGAGCTGACTATGAACTGAAACCTCTGGAACCGTGAGCCAAAATAAACCTTTCCTTATGTTGTCTGTCTCCAGTATTTGTCACAGTGGCGGAAAGCTGACTGACACAGCCCTGCCAAGTTCGAGACTCTGTCTCTCACTCACCGTCTTACAGGTCACCACGCGACATTTCACTTCTCTGATGTTTCTCATCTTTTCTTCCATTTGTTCTTTTTTTACCAGTAGCTCAAAATAGCGTTCTTGGAGCTCAGCCTCAGCCTGAATGATGAAACACACATGAATAATTGAACCAAATCCAAGATAGGTTCAGGCAGTTCAGTAAGAACAATTTAATAATTACTCCAATAATTCAGTTCATTAATAACCAAAGAGACAAGCTAGAAGTCAGAGGACCCTAGACAGTACCTCAATAAACTGCAAAACAAAGAACCCTTAAAATGTGGCGGGGAGGCACGAAAGTGCTTGGTGATTCTTAAAACACTAAATACAAATAAAAACCACTAACATTACTATTATGTTTTTGCAGTGCTAGAGATTGAACCCAGAGCCTCACATCTGTTAGGCAAGTGCTCTACCACTGAGCCACATCCCAGATCTTTTTAAATTTTAAGACAGGGTCTTGCTACGTGCGTTGCCCAGGCTGACCGCAAACTCACAGCCCTCATGCCTCAGCCTCCCGAGTAGCTGGGATCACAGGTGTGCACCATTGTGCCCAGCACCACACACAGTATTAACAGGGTCATCGGGTCCAGCATGCACGAAAAGGCATTGTCTTTGGCTGTCCCAATACAGGCTCCCACAGGGAAGGGTGGCAAGCCCCCCAGGGACAATGGCTCGCCTGGTTAGGCACTGGTCTCTGGATCCAGCACAGGCAGCAGAACTCCCTGGGGTCAGGAACAACAGGGAGTAAGGATGAGGGCAGCACACAGTGAGCACAGCTCTGGAGTTAGTGCAGCCGCGCAAACAAGATGGCCTGGTGCCCTTGGTGGCCACAAGAGGAGGGAGCTTAGCTTTCCACCCTGCAGGGTGCGTCTCCCATCTCTCCAGGTTCATAAACTGTTTCCTTAGCTGGGTGCAGTGGCACACACCTGTAATTCCCGCTCTCTGGGAGGCTGAGGCAAGAGGACTGCACGTTTGAGTCCAGCCTGGGCAACTTAGTAAGACACTGTTTCAAAATCAAAAATTTAACAAAGTAACTGAGGATTTAGCTCAGTGTAAAGACGCTGGGTTCAACTCCCAGTACCAAAGACAAAATAAGTAAACATAAAAAAACTAAAAACAAACCTGTCTTGTCACTTCCGAATCAAAAGGGCAGGTCACCAGGACTAGTGGTACTAGGTGGGAACACCAATGGCCACCAAGGGGCAGTCTGCAAAGCTGCATAAGCACTGTTCTGCTAGCCAAGGGTCACGATCGGTAGCCAGGGTGGGGTCACCACACTGTGGCAGTGGACAGACTGGTGCCCTGCACCACACGGGACTTGCACACCGCTGTGTGTCTCACAGGATGACCCGTGCGAGTGAGAAACCTGGCAGTCACCCCCGAGCCCAACTGCTTCCTATACAACACTGCAAACTTCCTGCATGGTTGTAATTTACACTGAATGTCCCGAGAGCCCAATGGAGCACTTCCGGTGTACACTGAGGGACGGCTGCACTTTGGTTTCCCAGGACATCTCACTGGTTTTCAGAACAATCACCATTACCAAAGAAGTAGGGCTCTGGTACCTCAGTTTCCTACATGAGTCCTCATTTCTGCTCTTATAAGTCTAAGCTCCAGCTATTTCATTATTTCTTCTAAGATAGTTTGTGCCCAAGTATTACATAATGAAATACTTACTTTTATCATCAATGTTCTTCCTTTTTCATTACTTACATCAGTCAGCATATTACATTGATAATTTTTAGATTACTAGTATAATTTATACTTTCTCTGTGTTTTATTGCAAGACAATAACAACCCCACGTATTTGTCACTGCCAGGTGGGACAGTGCACGCCTGCTGTAATCCCAGCACTCAGGAGGCTGAGGCAGGAAGATTGCTGGGCCTGAGCTACATAGCAAGACCCTGTCTCACATAAAACAAAGCAAACCAGAAAGTATTTGTTATTTAAAAGGGGTATAAGGAGTGGTGGAGTTAACTACTGATTTAGAGCATTTGAAATGGGAATACAAAAATATGTAAGTGGGCATAGTAAGCAGTACTTAGCCTTTTAAACATTAGTTCACAGCCCCAACTACACGCAAACATTTTTATAACAGTGGGGTCTTTTAAATAATAATAAATCAATTGCTGTTCTTCAGTGCAAGGACAAAAGCAAAGGTAACATCCATTGGAGCTGTTCCTGCTCTTCAAAGCCAACCCAAACACACTTCGAGGCAGCTACCGCTGGGCTCAGGTAAATAACAGACTCAGTCCCACAGCAAAGCAGCTCAGGTCTGAAGGCACTGACACCTTGCTGGTCTCGAGGGTTCTCACCTCCTTCAGGATGCCTGTGTGCTTTGACTGCGCTTTCAGAATGTTCTGAAATTCCTCAGACTCCAGGTAGGCAAGCTGCTCTCTCCTCTTTTTCTTTGCAGGCTCTAACTCATCCTCAGCTACGCAGAGAGAAGAGCATCACAGAGGAGCGGGAGGCCAGTGTCCGCACCCCTCACCCTCCTCCCGAGCTGGCTTTCTCTGCTCAGGGCCCTTTCAACCTCGAGGGACCCCACATGGGCACAAGCAGAGGGTTCTCCAGAAGTGAGCAGAGGCCTGAGCCGAGAGTGTGCAACAGTGGCAGACCCGACCACTGGACCAGAATCTCTTTTCCACCTTTAACACAGGGAGCCGGTGATGATAATAGATAGCAACAGGAAAAATACTACTTATAAACTAATTTTAAAATGACATCGCCAACTTCAGAGTTTTAAAAATAAAAACACGGCCAGGGATTTAGCTCAGTGGTTTTGCCACCTGCTGCGCAAGCGCAAGGACCCGAGTTCAATCCCCAGTGCCAAAAAAATTAAATAAATAAATAAATAAATAAAAACAGAGCAATTTAAAACAGAATTCTATTTCTTTCAAAGCGAACTCTTCACACCAACATGTATATGCAAAGATCCAACGGGAAATCCTTTTCACAACTTCAGATTGTGCAAAACTTCATTTCAATTTAATGTGATTATAAAAACACAATCAGAATGGGCCGGGGATTTAGTTCAGTGGCAGCACGCCAGCCTCGAAAGGGCAAGGTCCTGAGTTTGAGCTCCTCCACCAAAAAAACCCACAATCAGCTCAAATTGCAGAAATCCACTTAGGCAGGGTGTGGGGGCGCAGGCCTGTAATCCCAGCACTCGGGAGCCTGAGGCAGGAGGACTGCCATTGAGTTCAAGGCCATCCTGGGCTACGTAGTGAGTTTAAGGCCAACCTGATACATAGCAAGCAAAACAACAACAAAACATCCTACTTACACATTCTACAGAGGGAACACACGAGAAAGAATGGCTTGATATTAGGGTGCTGGTTACGGTTTGGGACATCCCCTCATCGATGGGCTCTCTCGCCCACTGCAGTACCTTCAGGAGAACAGGTGTTGTTCTTTTCTACTCGTTCTTTTACTTCCTGTACATCCTGTGGGTTCTTCTGCTCCCTTGTCATGTTGTTCGGATTTGTTTTTGTAAGAATTTGGCCTTTTGCCCTTAATTTGGCAACAGCAGCTAACTAGGAAAAACAGAAGAGAGGGAAGTAAGAACTGAAAAGATGAGACTGGTACCAACAGCCCCGAGTCCCCTCCAGATGGTGGAGCCTGGCTGTTCACCTAACGTGATTAACACGATTATTAAAACTCAGTAGCACAGAAGATAAAAGTCTGTAAGCTGATGATGAATAAAGTTTCAGTTTATTTAAATCTAATATAAACAGCTTCACATCAGCTAAACTGCAGTTCTAGCTCTATATGGGAACCACAAGCCCATTTTGGAATTTTTCAAATCAAACACAGAATACAATTCTAGCTCTAGTCTTGACGGGTTTGCCAGTGCAGGTAAATTACTTCTTTTACCAACCTCAGTTTCTGTATTTATACAATGGGGGAGCTGGGCATGGTGGTGCACACCTGCAATCCCACCACTTGGGAGGCTGAGGCAGGAGGATCACCATGAGTTTGAGGCCAGCCTGGACTACACAGTGGGTTCAAGGCCAGCCTGAACTATATAGCGAGACCCTATCTCAGAAAAACCAAAAGCAAAAACAAAATAATTATAATAATATGGGGTGACGACAATGTCTTTTCAAGGGGGTGGTTGTGTGGGTGGAATAAGATAATACATGCAAAGCATATACTGGTGCTTAGCAAACAGCTCGGAGGCAAACATCACAGGCCTAGAGAAGTGTTAAGAAGTGTGTGCAGCTGACCATTATCATCACTGGTATCACCATGATGCCTAGTGCCCGAGGTGGGGCACAGAGTGCCAATTCGTGGATAGCTATATACAGAGAAAAGCAGAGGACTCCATGAAGAGACCCAGAAAGGAGACAAGCAGGTTCTGGGTGCTCCATCCCCACTTCAGCCAGAGCAACTTCCGTCTGTCAGCAGGCGACCCCGGGGTAACATCGCCTTTGAAGGACTTTTTTTTCCGCACTGGGAATGGAACCCAGTGCTAGGCAAGCGCTCCACCACTGAGACCCCCAGGCCTAAAGAGGGGTTCTGCACACCACCGTCTTACAGTCCGGCCCCAACAATTCCAAGAAGTTTTCATACCTCAATGGCTCTGCTGTAACGCTACATCGCTACATCTTCCTGGAGGACGTCGCCTTTGCCTGCGGAGATGAAGGCTCCGACTTTCTTGGATTAAACTAAAGGTATTATGTTGACACTGTTATCCTTTAAAATCACTTCCACTCTACTTAGCAGGATGGGTAAATAGCTGCTAGGTGTCTTTGCTGGCTGTAAGTGCAGTTTGAAGCTCGAGCTGTGTCTCACTGAAGTCAAGTGATAAAGAGAAGCCAGTTACCTTTTTAGCTTCTGCTAGCGCACTCAGCTTTGGTCTTGGTGGTGGAGCCTCATCAAAGAACAGAACATCGTCCCCTTCCGTGACACCACGGCCCAGCTTGGGCATCCGTGGGGTGGTGGTTCCTTCCGGTGCGGGGAACTCAGCGCCAGTTCGCGGAGACTGGGCAGGCAGCTGTCGGGATGAGCTTGGCACCTCTGGCTTCCTAACTTCATTTGAGCTTTGGAGAAATCTTTAAAGAAATATGTATAAAAAAAAGAAGAAAATACGCAGTAACAAAATGTACACAAGGTTCTACACAGATGAAACTCCAGAACTCAAAGGGGATGGGAGACTCCAGGCAGCCCACCAGCTAACTGGTAAAATGATTTCCCCTCTTTGGTGAATCAATGGACTTGGCTCACACTAACAACAATACTAGCTTTACTCACTCGTGTGTCAACCGCATTTCCATTGAGTAAGCTAGAATTCTTTAGAACTAATACTGTTTTACTAAAAGGCTTTACTAAATGGTAACAGGCATCTCCTACACAGCAGACCTGAAGTGGGGTGTAGGGGATCCTAGCCGCTGAGCAGGTCTGGGACCTCACTGAATCCCTCTGCATTTTAGTTTGCTCTCCTGGGAAGAAATAATGCACAAGTTATGTCTGGAAGTCTGTAACAGAAAGGCACTGTAACCAATTACAGTTACGGTAATTATGTTATGCTGCTTTAAGAGCTACAATGGACCCTCAACTTATGAACTCAATTTGTTCACAAGGGCTGGTTGTAACTCAGGCTCCTCTACACAGTCTTCAAAGTCTCTCTTCCATGTTCAGGCAGATCTCAGTGTCCTTAGAGAGACACTGGCCCGGGATTCCTCAGTTAACCCCACACAGGAAAGGATGTTGTAATGTTCCTTCGGGGACTCTTAAGGGTTAAATCTGTATCTGAGACCATCTGGAAGCACCGGCACCTGGCATTCGGGTCATAACTCAAGACTTTGGTTATAAGTTAAAGCTAAAATTGTGGTTGTGATGCAAGGTGTTTGTATGTCAGGACAGTTTAACTCCAGGGGCCACTGTATTTAAAAATGGTAAACTTGAGAAATCAACTGGTCTAAACTTCTCATTTAAGAAATGATGACACCAAGGCCTGATCACATTGTTCCTAGTGACAGACCCAGCTCAGTACCTTTTCACTAATGAATGCTCTCTTCCAAGCCGTAGGGTGACTTTACAAACTATCAAACACAGATATGACTTGTTTAGCTAATAAAATTCTGAAAAATGTCAGACTGTGTTATGGCTTATAGCCAGATGTCACCCCAAAGCCTCATGTGCCCGTAGGTGGGGCTCTGGGAGTGACTGGATCATGGGTGTGACACTGGATTGGTCCATTGATGGGTTTAGCATGGTTCTGGGTGTGGATGATGGACTTGCTGAAGAGGGAAGACCCACCTGGGTGTGGGTGGCACCAACCAACAGGCTTATGGCCTGGATGCAATGTAAAGGCAAAGGAAGTTGCACTGCTTCCTGCCTGCCTGCCATGGACTGTTTCTCCTCTGCGATGCTCCTCTGCCATGTCACCCTGCCTTGGAGCCAGCCAGCTATGGACTGAAACCTCTACAAGCTGTGAGCCAAATAAACCTTCCCTCCTTTAACTTGTGGGTGTTGGGAATTTTGTCCCAGCAATGAGAAAGTAACTACCCATGTTTCCTTGAAAATAAGACCTAGGTAGAATTTAATCAGCCTTGAAAACTAGAGATCAAAAATGCCAGCCCCAATCAGTCTCTCCTTGCCTTACCTGCTGCAACTATTCTCTTGCTCAGTAGCTACTCTGTAGGGCAGAAAGAGTGTGAGACAAACTGTACTGCTTTCTGACAGGTGCTCTCTATTCTCCACAGAGGCCACAACCCCATATATATACATATACATTTCCATTTCCATATTATAGAAATATATACTTGGAGGCACAAATATCTTTATAAACATCCCAAACTAATCTGCCCGAGAACAAACCCATTCTCTTATTTTCCAAGAGACTGTCCTCTTGGCTTTTCACTGACTTTACTTTTCCCAGAAGTGGGAAGGCTCAGTGGTTAAACCCTGGAGTAGAACAGGTGTGAGCTGGAGTCTGCTTGGTCATGTACCGGCTCTCAGGCCTCCCAGTACACCACTTGAAACACCAGGACAGTGACTCCCTGCAGTCACCTTGAGGCCGAGTGAGGCGCTGTACTCATGGAGTGGACAGCACTGTGCATGATAAGCACGTGCAAACAGTGGCTTTTATCATCACTCACAGAACCTGGGCTCAGGGAATCTTTGATTTGTCCACCTTCCACTTCCACTTCTACCTGATTTTGCTTCTACAGTGATTATATTTTTAGTGCTTCATTTACCTGAACAACAATAATCTACGCACTGGTTTTGCCTGTATTTAGAAACCTAACTGGCAAAACTAAGAAACAAGAGCCACACAGGTGAACACACGCATTCTTCTTACCCAACAACTCTCTTCACATTTCACTCCTCTTGTCCACGGTGATATTAACTATTCTCATCTGGACCATCTGGTCTCAGGAGTCACTAGGCTACCTTAGAAGCATTTAGCCCTCGATGCTGTGTAGGTTGTGACAAAAACGTAGCCAACCTAAATATCAAGTCATATTTCTGAAATCTAGTAAGATATTCGGAGGATTTCTAAACGAATGTTAGGTCTGCTCCTCTTACCGTCGCTGTATTTCTTCGGATTTCCTCTTCCTCATCTCCAACATCTGCTGCTTCTGCTGCTTCAGGAGGGCTGATGCTGAGACAGACTGAATGGCAGGCTGTGGGCTCCCCGGGGTCCCTAAAACACAAGCCCAAACTGAGGGGTTCTCCCAGAGGCGAGGCAACTTGGCACACGCACCACGGCCAGGCAAGCTGACTGTACCTGAAGTCCTGGCTTTGGCTAAATGTTTCAAGTTTCTGGCTCCAAATGTTGGCAGGTCCATCAGTTCCCTGAACTCCTCGGAGCAAGACAAGCTCTTCTGTGGTATTCCTGGGACATGGAGACACCAGTGTTACAGGACTCAAAATTCCGATCATTTGATGTCATGTGATGTATTACTTTTTAAACTCTGCACTTGGAATTTAGTCATTTGTAAATGAACCAGATGGAACGCCAAGAGAAATAAAGAACCTGTAACTTTAACATCAGATTGGCAGGACTGCACGGGTATTTGAGTGTATTCTATTTCCAGTAATGATTAGAATACTAAGCACCTAAGATCTGCGGGGTCATTTCCTACAGTACTTCTGGAATGTGCAAGGTGGCTAAGGGCTCCTGCTAGGCCCTCGTCACTACCAGGACTGCAGGTACAGGGTGGGCTGGCACGTCCTGACCTAGGCTATTCTTACAAAAGGGAAAATATCTGGAGAGGATTGCCCAGGAGCCTGATACCACTGATTCTAATGCTGGATATCAAGAGTCTGACACAGATACATTAAGAAACTTCAGAAAGTGTACAAAATGAAGACACAGCTAGACCCACATGCTGTTTTCCCTTCAGGTCCTGCCCCCAGGTTTGATGCCTTCAGCCAAGGTCACATTATTCACTAAGCAGTTGAGGAGTGGACAGTCATCATGTAGAGTGTGTGTGACAGTCATCCTCAATCACAAATACTGCATTTTTGAACTGGAGAAAGAAATGCAGATGAAGAAAGAAAGGTACCGAGTTTTTGCCGTGCTTCCTGAATGATGGAGTTGGTGCCTTTCACAACCAGGTTGGTCAGAGTGGTCTGAATCTTCTTTTTGGGAGCAACAGCCACTGCACTGAAATGACAAGAGCCACCCCCAGGAAATGGGATCACTGAACTCCAAGCTCTGATGAGTAAAGAAGGCAGAGAAATAAATACTCAGGCATTTATACCAACCACCAAAGTTCCCCAGAGCACCAGGAAGCAGGCTCTGCCCATCCCAGGGCCTGCAGAGGCGGTTTATGCGCAAAGGAAGCACAAGAGGCAAACTACAAACTTGCTCCAGGCCATTCTGAAAAGGCTGAAGAAATAAAAAATATGCTAACTGTTTGATTTAGAAGTCTAGAAATCTATCTTAAAATAACTAAAGACTAGCTAGGCATGGTGGTGCACGCCCATCATCCCAGCTCTCAGGAGGCAGAGGCAGGAGGATCACCATGAGTTGAGGGCCGCCTGGGCCACACAGTGGGTTCAAGGCCAGCCTGAATTAGAGAGTGAGACCCTATCTTTAAAAAAAAAAAAAAAAAAAAAAATGGGGCTGGGATTTAGCTCAGTGGTGCTGCTGTCTCCCTTGCAAGTGCCAGGTCCTGAGTTAGATGTTAGATCCTTGGTACCAAAATAAACAAACAAAAAACGAAGGACTGTGTAAAATATAGGAATATTAACTATAGCTTAATCAATGATGTTCTTAGAAATACCACTAATGCTCATCCATGGGGAGGTGTTTGACAGACTCACATAAAGGAAGATTATATAGCTGATAAAAATGACCTAAGTGAATGGGGCTGGGAATTTAGCTCAGTGGTTTTGCCACCTGCTGCACAAGGACCCGAGTTCGATCCCCAGTACCAAAAAAAAAAAAAAACAGAGAATGACCTAAGTGAATCTTTGACAAGCAAAACATTAATTTAAGTGGAAAATGGGGGCGGGGGGGTTAAAAATATACATATGATATTGCCAGGGATTTAGCTCAGTGGTGCCGTGCCTGCCTCGAAGGCGCAAGGTCC